AAGCCGTCGGCCGCCTGGGGGAGGAGTCGGGAAATGGTCCCGAGAGTCGGGGCGGTCTGTGTTCAAATGTGTGGGCGGGCTGTTTATGGAGGGGCTGCTTTTTTCTTCAGAAGGAAAACCGTTCCTGACTGTTTCTGGACAGCGATCCTGTTGGTAACCTCCGGATTGTTTGCGGAGTAATCCTGTGGCTGCGTTGGGAAATTTAATGGTCCCGGATCACCGCTCAACGATTTCGGGAGATGTAGTCTTTAAGTAGCGTGGATTGGTTTCAAACAAGGTAGCCAGTATAGTCTGTTCCAGCCCTTGTAACAGACATAAAAAACAACGTTTGCAAGATTAACAGAAGTCCTTGACAGCTAGCTTTTTTGGATTGCAATCCACATTCTCAGACACATGGACCACAATAATCAGGCCACAGGTTTATATTTATAAACTACCTGGTACAGTGCTTGGAACCAAGTGAGATGGGGGGGGGGGAGCCATTTAAAATGATAGTGGGACCAGGAATTAGCAAAGTGCTGATTTCATGAAGACATCTCATTGCCATCAGTTAGAGGTATATCAAGAAAAAGGACATTTTAGTTATTGCTATACCAAAGACTCTGGATAAATCCAGGATATACAGTATAGTGTACTAAGAACCCTTGGTCGAACTTTTATCCTTTTGTATCCACTTTGGAATCTGTGAACATCTCTCATTTCAGCTGTCTCATTTTCTTCTTTGTAATTTCGTTTTATCTACAAATTACTTTGAGACCTATAGCAGAGTATGGTTCTGCAACTGGGTTTTTTTTTGTGGGGTCATTCCGTTCATTCCATGTCAAATCAACCAATGCATGGAACCTTGATGTCATGGATTTGGTTAATTTTTGGTACATTTGTACCTTGCCATGAGATGTTTAAAAGTATTTTTTTTCAAATGATCAAAATCACCGCACTGATTTCCAAGGCATTGAAGCAGAGTGGCATTTTTATGCCACTGCACATGGCAAAGGAGTTTGTGGTGGTGTTGGAGGCACAGTGAAGAGACTTGAAGCAAAGGCCAGCCTTCAAAAACCCCTCTCAAATCAGATAATGACACATCAACAGTTGTTTGAGTGGGGGAAGGCAAACATCCCTGCAATAAGTTTTTTTTATATTACAAATGATGAATACCTGGAAGAGGAGAGATTTTTAAAAGTACAATTTGATAAAGCAGTTCCAGTTACTGTATAGGAACTCAGAAGTGTCATGCCTTCCTCCCAGTATCAGCTGAAACATTAGAAACCAAAGGATTTTCAATCTCTCATGATTCTGTTGTAAAGGTAAAGGTTCCTCTTTACATGTAGTCCAGTCGTGTCCAACTCTAGGGCGCGGTGCTCATGCTTGCCCGTTCCTGCTCCAGGTGAATCATGTTTAGTCAGAACTCTCCACTATGACCTGTCCGTCTTGGGTGTCCCTGCACAGCATAGCCCATGGCTTCTCTGAATTACTCAAGCCCCTTCGCCACGACAAGGCGGCAATCCATGAAGGGGATTTTCAGGGCTAAGTCAATGTAAATCCTTGTCACTGCCAACAAGAAAATTTAAGCTTTGTATGATACCATTGAGATACCAGCCTGAAATTTGGATTGACTGGCTACAAGACATGTATCTTTAAGTGTGAATTTTTGAAAACTTACAAAAATTCTGTTTTCTCAAAAATTCAAATTTTAAATTTTTTAAAACGTGTACTTTTTTTGAAAATGTACAATTGCACTTTGGATTGACTGGCCATAAGACATGTATTTTTAAGTGTGAATTTTTGAAAACTTTAAAAAATTCCGTTTTCTCAAAAATTCAAATTTTAAAATTTTTTAAATGTGTACTTTTTTTGAAAATGTACAATTGCATCATGTTGTATATCAAATGAAAGTCCTATTCATAAGCTTTAAAATGACACATGTCCCAGGTCTGCAGCTATCACAGGTATCTATTAAATGGCATTTGAATGTATGGGGGCTAGTGAATTTTGGCTTTTTTGTTTCTATTTTGAAAATGTAGTATGTCAGAAATAGGTGGACCGAAAAAATCTGGAAAAATTTTTTTATACATCTCATTGAAAGGTACAAATGTACCAAAAATGAACCAAATCCATGACATCAAGTTCCAAAATGGATTTTTCATTGATTGATTTGACATAATTTTTTATGTCAGCTTTGTGTCATAGAATCATAGATTATTGGAGTTGGAAGGGGCCTATAAGGCCATTGAGTCCAACCCCCTACTCAGTGCAGGAATCCAAATCAAAGCAGATCTTATGGACGGTTGTCCAATTTTACCTTGAATTCCTCCAACATTAGAGTGTTCACCACTTCCCAAAATAATTGGTGCCATTGTTGTACTGTTTTAACAGTTAAGATGTTTTTCTTGATATTCAGCCTAAATCTGGCTTTCTGTAGCTTGAGACCCTCATTATGTGTCCTGCACTCTGAGATGATCAAGAACAAATTATGCCCCTCCTCCTCTTTCAAGTATTTGAAAAGTGTTATCATATCACCCCTCTGTCTTCCTTTTTTTCAAGGCCCTGTTCTTTCAGTCTTTCCTTACAGGATTTGGTTTCTAGTCTCCTGATGATCCTTGCTGTTCTCCTCTAAACTTGTTCCAGTTTGTCATTATCCTTCTTAAACTGTGGTTTCCAGAGCTGGACACAGTACTCTAGATGAGGGTTTGTCGTCATCCTTCTTAAACTGTGGTGTCCAGAGCTGGACACAGTACTTTAGATGAGGTCTAACCACTACCAAATAGAGGGGGACTAGTACCTCATGGGATTTGAATACTATACTTTTGTTAATGCAGCCTAAAATAGCATTTTCCTTTTTTGCAACCACATCACACTATTGGTCAATATTCAGCTTGTGATCTACAACAATTCCAAGATCCTTCTCACTTGTAGTATTACTGAGCCAAGTGTCCCCCATCTTATAAGTATGCATTTGTTTGTTTGTTTTTCTCCAGGTGTAGTACTTTATACTTATCTCTGTTCAGTTTCATCAGCCCAGTGCTCAAGTCTATCAGAATTGTTTTTAATTTTGTTCCTGTCTTCCAAGATATTAGCTGATCTACCCAATTTTGTGTCATCTGCAGATTTGATAAGTATTCCTTGCACTCCCTCATCCAATTCATTAATAAAAATGTTGAAGAGCACCTGACCCAGGACTAAGCCTTGTGATAACCCACTTGTCTCCTCCCAGTTTGAGAAAGAGCCATTGATGACCACTCTCTGAGTACTCGCGAAGTTACTCTCTGAGTACGATTTTGTAACCAACTGTGTGAGTACTTGCGAAGTTACTCTCTGAGTACGATTCTGTAACCAACTGTGTATCCACCTGACAGTTGTTCTATCCAGCCCACAGCTACTTAGCTTGCTAATCAGATATCATGGGCACTTTGTCAACGGTTTTGCTGAAATCAAGATATATTATGGCTACAGCAATTCCACTACCTACCATGGAGGCTAGCCAATCAAACTATGAGATAAGATTAGTCTGGCAGGATTTATTCTTGACAAATCCATGTTGGCTTCTAGTTATTTTTGCAGTGTTTTCTAAGTGTTTGCAGAGTAACTGCTTTATAATCTGCTCCAGAATTTTCCCTGGATTGATGCCAAACTGAGTTCTGTAGTTCCCAGATTCCTCCTTTTTGTCCGCCAAACTGAGTGTTCTGTAGTTCCCGGATTCCTCCTTTTTGTCCCTTTTGAAGATAGGAACAATGGTAACCCTCCTCCAATCATCCAACACTTAACCCGTCCTCCATGATTTCAAGACAATAATAGAAAGTGGTTCTGAGATATCTTCAACCAGTTCCTTCAATAACTTTGGATGCAGTTCATCTAGCCCTGGGTATCTGAACTCATTCAAAGTTGTAAGACAGTCTTTGACTATTTGTTTAACAATCTCAAGCTGCAGTCTTGTGCCATCTACTTGTACTTCACATTTGCCTGGAAAAGCATAGATTATCTTTTGGGAGAAGACTGAGCTAAAGTAGGAATTGAGCACTTCTGCCTCCACTGTTTCTTTTCTCTGTCTTCTGCTATGTACTTACTTGAAGAATGTTTGTTGTTGTTGCTTTTAGCGTCCCTTAGCTCATTCTTAGTTTTTCCCTTCATATTGCCATCCCTACAATTCTTTGCTACCTGTCTGTACTCGTCATTTGCAGCCTGGTCTTTCTTCCAATTCCTATATGTGCTCTTTTTTGTTATCAAGTGTTCTCTGAGCTTTTTGTGCAGCCACGCTGTTTTTTTGTTTGTTTTTTGCTGTTTTCCATCTTTTCCTTGTTGGAATTGTTTGTAGTTGCGCAGCCACACAGGTACTTTTTTTTTTTGGCTGTTTCCCATCTTTTCCCTTGTTGGAATTGTTTGTAGTTGACCCTTTAGAATTTACTTTCTTAAAAACTCCCATTCATTTTGGACTCCTGTTAGGATTTCCTGCCAGGATACATTGTTCTGAGTTTATTAAAATTGGCCTTCCTGAAATTCAGCATATACATGCAGCTACCCTCTGCTTTTTAGTTTGAAATCAAGAACTCAAGTAGAACATGCTCACATTTCCCCAGAGCCCCCTTTTTGCCACTGTTGTCTTCTTTCTCCCTCCCCACCCCATCATTGTTTTCTTGCTGCTGTGGTTGGTGACATAAATATGTCAATTTACAGCATCAGCCACAGTGGTTATGGTGGTCATAAAGGCCAGTTCTGGATGCTAAGTGAAGCATTAACTAATATTGGATTGGTTGTAAACGTCTTTGTTATGTGCTATCAGCTTTTAATGGCAGTGACAGGGCTTTCAAGGTAAAGGAGATATTTAAGGAATGGTTTTACCAGGTACGCTCCCCCAGTGAGTTTCCATGGCTGACTGGGGATTCGAATGCTAGTCTTCAGAGTCCTAGTCCATTGCTCTATCCGCTACACCACACTGGGAATTGGATGTAGAAGCAGGGGGTTGTAAAACAAGCCATTGTTAACCTTGTTTTGGTTGTTATTGTTTGTAACTGTGAAGAAGGTCTTTTGCTGAGTCACTTGTTTTTGGTGTGTGAAGCATGGCTCAATTATGCTGTTTTATTTTAGATTCAAACGTTCATCTTCATGGACACTACGAAATTTCGGCACAAGGGGGCCTTGATGCTGCGGAATGACAAACACATGCTCAATCTCCGGCTGGGACGGAACCCAAAGCAGCGCTGGCAGAAAGTGTTATATAAGAGGCAGCCATTTCCTGATAACTATGTGGACCAAAGTTTCTTAGAGAAGCTACGCAAGAATGTTCATGCACGCCAGTACCAGTACTGGGCAGTGGTGTTTGAATCTGGAGTGGTGATACAACAGCTGTGCAGTGTCTGTGTCTTTGTGGTCATCTGGTGGTACATGGACATGGGACTTCTAGCTCCCCAGTGGCTATTTGGAGCTGGCCTGATCTCTTCCCTAATTGGTTATGTTCTCTTTGATGTGGTTGACTCAGGAATGGGGAGAAGTCAGAGTGGCCAGACACGGTGGGGAGATCTGAAGAATGCTGTGGTATTTGTGGCCTTCACCTATGGCTTTTCCCCAGTATTGAAGACCTTAACTGAATCCATCAGCACAGACACTATTTATGCTATGGCTGCCTTAATGCTCCTAGGACACTTGATCTTCTATGACTATGGGGCTAATGCTGCCATTGTGTCCAGTGCACTGTCTCTCAACATGGCTATCTTTGCTTCAGTGTGCTTGGCTTCACGGCTGCCTCGCTCCTTGCATGCTTTTGTCATGGTGACATTTGCTATCCAGATATTTGCCCTGTGGCCTATGCTGCAAAAGAAGCTCAAAGCCCAAACCCCTCGATGCTATGTGGTAGTTACCTTGCTCTTTGCTGTGTCTGCCTTGGTGGGTCTGGTGACCATTTCCAGTGTTGGAGCTGTTCTTTTCGCCCTCCTCCTAGTCTCCATCTCATGCCTGTGTCCTTACTGCCTTATTAGACTGCAGCTGTTCAAAGACAACATTCATGGGCCTTGGGATGAAGCTGAAATCAAGGAAGATCTGTCCAAATTTCTCAGGTAGTTCATGGAGTCACACAGTAACATGCTGAACAGTTCTTGTTCAAGTGGAGCCACAACTGAAGTTGCTCTGACTTGCCTCCAGTTTGAGACAATAGCAGTTCAGGAACTGTTTTGATACACACAGTCAACCAGTTCATGTAATTTGGACTTCCTAGTTTTAAAAATATATTTGAATAAATATTGGATACTGTGAGTTGTTGTTTTGTTGTTGTTTTTTATGTTGCTTTTGGTTGTGTGATTTTCTTTTGTGTTTAGATTGTGTCAATGTATGTTTAGTGCAAGCTGCCCAGAGGATTTTGGAGTACAGGGTGGCATGCAAATATTGTAAGTAAATAAATAAAATATGGGTTTGATTTCTGAGGAAATGTAAATATATGGCAAGTGGCATGCAATTATTGTAAAATATGGGTCTGATTTCTGAGGAAATGTAAATATATGGCAAAGCCTTTCGAACTGTCATTTACAGATATCTAAAACAACTGCAACAAAAAGTACTGTGATGCATGCATGGCATACAAGAAAAGTCTTAAGTCTTTAGTAAAGGATTTTTTTCTCTTTTATTTCTTCTCTTTAAGCATAGATCTGCTTCTGGTTCCCCAAAGTTGTGAGTTCAATAGGGCTGGCACACATGACAGGGCTTTCTTGGTGGTGGTTTCCTAGTTATGAAGCTCCGTAATAGAAATCCAGTTGTCCTCCATAACTAGTTTTTCTTTTACAATTAACAATCCTTGGTTTCTGGTACTGAAGGATGTCAGTATCCATGCTAAGGCTACCTTGTCAGGAGTGACTCAGGATTTTGTGTCCTCTATGATACCAGGTAGTGATTTGTCCGTGCTACAAAGGCTCTTTCACACCATCCAGCACAGAAAGAACTGTGCTGACTGCTGCAGTCTGACTGTCCAGACTGTGTCCAGCATCATTGTAGGGTCAGATTCTCTTTGGGACAGAGTAACTAGAGTGGGGACAGCAGAAAACTGTGAGCAATTTCAATTGAACTTGGACTACAGCTCGTCAGAAGACTTGCTCTGTGGTGATTCTATTACCAAAAGGAAAATGCAGATGAAAATAAGGTAATGAAAAGAATAATAAAGACAGTTTATAAAATATTATTGGAAGCAGTTGTTGTTTAAATCATTAGGGGGAGCAAGTTTCCCTCTAAGCTGGGTGTGCGTGCACACACAACTCTGCTTCCCGTTACACAGCTGTCTTCCTTCTCCACACAGCAATTATATTTGGTTCTGGTCATGTCAGAACTCTGTGCAAGAGGGGGCGGAGGTGCACGCATTTGCAGAGGTGAAGTCGCACACGTGTGAGGTGGAGCCCTGTTTAGCGGGGCTGAAAATTAGAGGGTATGTCGATGGGAATACAATTTGGGAGAAGAATTTACTTCCAGGGTTTCGAAAAATATATGGGATACAAGAATACTGAAATCTGCAGTGGTGCCCCGCTTGTCGACGATAATCCGTTCCAGGAAAATCACTGTTAAGTGAAATCGTCATCAACTGAAAAATAAAAAAACCTATTGGAATGCATTGAAAACCTGTTAATGCATTCCAATGGGAAAATACCTCATCGTCCAGTGAAAATTGCCCATGGAGAACCGCCGAGCAGCTGTTTAAAATCTCTGTCTTCCGAAGCAGGGGTCCGGAAAGCAGCCATTTTGCAAAGGGAGGGAAGCCATTTTGCGGAACCATAAAAATTATCGTTTAGCGAACAAACGGTTCGCAAAGCAGGCTCCTAATCAATGTAATGCAAAGTCTGTACCTTGAAAAGTACGCATGTCGAGCCATGCGTACGTCGAGGGTCCAGTGTATAAAAAAGATGGCAGGGCCAAAAAAGGTCATTTTCCTGCCAGCCCTGCATCTGATCAGAGCCATCCAACAGAGTTGTTTTGAGTGGTCAGAAGAGTGTTATGTACTGGCATACAGGAAGAAACAATAACCCATCTGATAGCCCATTGTGGCAATTGACAGATGAAATAGCTCAAAATTATTCTGACTTGGACACTATAATTGGTGCAGTCCAGTCAATGTAACTTTGGTTCTTGCTTGTCTGGTATTGATGGAGACATTTCAGACTAGCCTGTAATCTGACACTTGAAGATGCAGATAGATTTTTTTAAAAGGTAAAGGCCATTACATGTATGCTGAACTCTTGCCCTTAACCTTCAGTCAGGCGAGGTCTGGCCAAGGTGGTTAATAGAAGGGTGAATGCTTTATGAAGGCATGATCCCAATCTACCTAAAAGAGGCAGTTGTGAAGCCATCCCTGAACCCCAACATTCTGGATAGCTCCCAGCCAGTCTCTAGTCTCCTCCTCTGGTTAAGGTGCCTGAGCAGGAGGTTAAGATGACTGAGCTCCAGAGATCCATGCATGAAGTAGATTATCTAGATCCATTTCAATCTGGCTTTAGGCACAGCTGTGGGATGAAAACAGCTTTGGTTACCTTGGTGGATGATCTACAATAGGAACTAGATAGGGGCACTGTGTCCCTCTTAGCTCTTGCTGGACTTTTCAGTGGTGTTTGATATAATCAACCAAGGTATTGCTTGGCATCAACCACTCTAGGACAGGTTTTGGCAGCACTGTCTTACAGTGGCTTTGGTGTGTTCTGGAAGAGCAATCTGAGAAAGTACTGTTGCGGGCTCCTGTTCAACACCCTGGTCATTGACTTGTTTGGATCCCTCAGGGCAGTGTCTAGTCCTCAGTGCTGCTTACAATATACATGAAACCATTGGGAGAGGTTTTCAGTGTTTGCATTTGACTGCCACCAATACACTAACACCCAATTATTGCATCCTATTTACATATAAGTCTGAGGAATGTTTTTCAGTTCTAAAACAGCGTCTGAAGACACTAGTGGAATGGATGAAGCTTAATCCAGGAAAAAAAAAACCAGATATGCTCCTAGTCATCTCAAATTCGGCAGGGGAATAAGGACTCCTGTACTGGAAAGGATTATACTTCAGCTGAAAATTTAGGTTGCTCAGTTCCCAATGGCCAGTACAGTTGAAGCTTGTATGCCAGCTGCACCTGTTCCTAGAAATGTCAGGCTTGGCTATGATGGCACATATCGTAGTTACCTCCCAGTTGGATTGCTTTAACAGAATCCACGTGGAGCTGCCTTTGAAGAGTGGAAACCTCAGCTGGTCCAAAACCATGCAGCCAGATTATAGACTAGGGCCACTTATAGGGAACATAGAACTTTCCCTATTAAAGTCTCATTGGTTACTAGTCTATTTCCATTCACAGTTAAAAGTTCTCATTGTGACCTATAAAGCCCTATACAACTTCGATTCAGGCTATCTGAAAGAACAAATTCTTTCATGCAAGCCTTCCTGCTGATAGCCTTTTTTGTTTGAAAGAAGAGTATGGACAAGTAGCAAAGAATTGCACCTTCCTGCTGATAGCCTTTCTTGTTTGAAAGAAGAGTATGGACAAGTACAAGTATGGACAAGTAGCAAAGAATTGCAGGGATGTTGTTAGGAAGGCAAAACCTAATAATGGGCTGAGATTAGCAAGAGATGCTAAAAGCATTTTTCAGGCACTCGCATAGTAAAAGGCAGAGAAAAGAAACAGAGGCTCATCTACAGTACTCAGTGGGGATGGGACAGTGGTAACAGACAACCAAGAAAAGGCAGAAGTGCTCAATTCCTACTTCAGCTCAGCCTCCCTTGTTTGCATCATGAATGTAAAGCCCCCTTAATTATTCCAAGCCAAAGCATTCCTATCAAATAAACTGTGGGGCATTTTGTGATGCTAATTCCAATGGGAGGCAAAAGCACTTTATATCAAGTGAAAATACCTTTTTGACATGTATCTTTTTCTCCTACAGTTTCTGCAAAAAAGTAACAATTTATAATAACTTTGAAGGGGGAATCCAAAAAAGATTGTTTTGATTAAAGAAAATGTGCCCTGCATAGCGTAGAAAGATTGCAACAAAGTAGTGGTGAGGGGCTACACATTAAATGCAAGTACCTTTACTTGTTGTGTGGAAGGAGGCAATTCAGTAGGGAAGCTTGGGGGACAAGCAGCATCTACTTACTAATAGTCTTTTTAACCATACAACTGTTTAAGGTAGAAAACCTCTGTCCCCTTTAATAGGTAGCTGCCCTAAATCCAAGTGAGCACACTAGTTCCAAGCTGCTGAAGAAAAAAAAATAGTAAAACAACTTTGCAGAAGAGAATGTTGTGTGGAAGAGCATATATGCCATCCATGTCTCTGCTCTGAAACACATACACCAAATTATATTCCCCTCCCCAAAGCCTATTGATATTTGGGTTTGGAGCAAGAAGGAGTTAATGCTTCAGTCCCCAGACTGCTTTAAAGCAAAGTATCTTGCCTCTCATTTGCATTGACTGTATAGATGGTCTGACATTTTTTATGCTTGCGTTTTCCTAGCGAACAGCTAGCTTTTATCAGATTCATCGGGTAGACACTTTCAGCTGTCACTAGTGCCAGGTTTAACTTCTAGCCAAAGAGACAAGATTCTTTGTTAGTCATGTTATTTCCAAGGGTTTCCCTTAAGTAAAAAAGAAGAAGAAAAAAGAAAAGAAGAGAGAGAGAGAGACATTCTTTCCCCCTGATTCACTAACTAAGTAATTGTTTTTATATAAATTTTCCTTTAGCTGGCTAAAATTGGAACATGGTCATCTTATCTCCCACTCATTCTGAAGCAGATTTTTTCTTTCATATGTTTCTCCAACACTGTTTTGGTTTGGTGCTATAGTTTTTTCTGGCTTCTGACAAATATTTTTATAATGGATTATGTTAGCAATTGAGAGTATATGGCTGATAATTTCTGCCATGTAGTTTCAGCAGCAATTGCCATTGAACATTTCAGCAGTGGTCAGTTACTACTTCAGTTACAAATTTGAAAGGCATCTCTTTGCCAGGTCTCAAAACAGATGAGAAATCCACTTCCTCAGCACCCACAGTAAAGTATGAGATGCATTACAAACCAAAACTTGAAACTTATAATAATCTTCTTTCACAGTTTACTGTGATCAAACCCCATAACTACAAAGTATTGTTAAGAATTAGAGTTACAGGTAGAGATGGGGGTATTCTTATACAAATATCCCCCCACAGGTGCATATAATAAGAGATATTAGCCAGTCCTGGCAGAAGGGGGGATGATGAGCCTCTCTGCCAGGTCACAGAGTGGCTAATCCATCGCCAGCAACGGAGTGA